CGGTCGGTCGGTCGGTCAGTCAGTCATTCAATCAGTCAATCAATCAATCAATCGATCGATCGACCAATCAATTGAGCGATCAATCAATCAATCAATCAGTGAGTGCATCGACAAACCGATCAACCCATCAATAGAGCAGTCGATCGACCGAAAAGTTGATGAGACAGTCAATCAAGCATGCGACGGAACCCTTTTTGTCGAGAGAGAGGACAATTGTGATTAAATGACAACAAGACAACAACAACAACAAAAATCACAAAATCTCGCAGGTCGTTTGCATTGTTTGTGAGAAAACACACTGAACCGCGCACACACAATTGCACACGTGGACTCGGCTGATGTTGTTCAAGGATTTGTGAAAAGGTGCCATTGATTTCATGGCCTTCATTCACAATTGCATATGTTGCGCAAAGACATAAGGAATCGACAAAGTTTTCGACCACCTTTACGGTCGGTTATGACATGAATGCGCTGCCGTGGGCGAGGTGTCACAGTACACAACTACAGAAATAAAAACAAAATGGCGCTCCATCCACACAAACACACTGGTGAACAGGCACACCACCACACCGCCCGTTTACCTAAGAGACCGAACCGAGCAGACTAACGTGAAAGCGCCCCACGATAACCACCTCGTACCGCCTGCCCCCCCCTCCCCCCCCTCCACTCACAATCTACGACGATGAGCATGCCACTGAAGACTTCGGATCTTTCCAGTCCATAGCCAAAGAACGATGGCAAGACGTGCAGGACTGACTCCACCACTTTCAGGACCCTTCTTCGTTCTCACCTCGGTCCTCCTTCCTGTCGTCACCGAAAGGTCCAGTCCCCATCCAATCCATCCTCGTGGTGACGTCGGGGTCCGCCAAACCAGCATGCCATTTGAACCGCACTCCACATGAAGCCCACTCCGGGATGTAGTTGAGATACTCACCCATCTTCAAGGGCGGCTTCCCGAGGTGAGTCAAAACTGCATTTGCGGACTGGAGTATATGTCGGCGTCAGCTGAAGGATGGCGACCCTACCGCCATGAGCTTAGGCTTCGCCACGAGCTGCGAGAAGTACAACGCCTCCTCGTGGGAGCCCACGTCATCGCCTCCAATGCGCATGATCCACATGCACGTGGCGAGAAGCAAGCGGAAGGCATCCCCGAATCTGCTCAACCTTGACTGGGACATCTTTTCGTTGTCGGACCATTGGCTGCCTCGGAGCGCATCGTGAAAGCAGGACACCAAATGCAAAACCGTGGACTCTTGATGGGCAGCCATATCGTTGTCCTCAGGCCTGTCCTCGATGTAGACCCCCTCGTACCACAATGGAATGTCCATCCTCAGAGCGAGTGTGTGGTAAACAACACTAGGCAACACTACCCTCGACCACTCCACAGTCTGCCAAGCTGCTCTCGCAAGATCGGTTGGGTAATTAACGACGACATACGACTCGGCGCGGGCGAAACCGTCGGATCTTGAAGACGACCTGAAGATCCACCTGTGGATGATGCGCATAGCGACGTTCTCCGTCCTTCTCGCCCATCCAAGGGCTGTGTCGCAGTGCGCAGGATCTTGGATTCACAAACGCGGAACGTCAGGGGGTGGCATGATGAGGCCACGCGGTGCGGTGGCGCCTGCATCCCCATTAACCATTGCATAGTAGTAGTTTGCACAATTGTGCACAGCATCCGCGATCAGGCGACCAGGTCCACTTCCCCTGAATGTCTTCCCGTCTGTCCACAACTTCGACGTCGCCCCCAACACCTCCTCCTACCGCGTTTTTTTCTTCATCATGCGAAGAGACTCGTCGTTCTCGTCGTTCGGTCGCGGAGTGCCATCCCTCCTCTCGTCTTTCCTCCCTACCTCACCAGACCCTCTTTTCCCCGCAGCGGTGCTCGGCCCATGGACAGCACCACTTCCTGCAGACGACAACGTGACGACTTCCCTCGCCGACCCGCCGACCGTGTTCCTGTTCGACGGCTCCACGTGGCACCCTTGTGGTGCATTAACGGGTCCTTTGTCCGCACATTCAACAACGAACACGATCGTCGCCATTGAAGTCACGGGCGTTTGTGGTGCCGACTCGCTGATGACGATCCCTTGAGAACGCACACTTCCACTTCCACCACCATGACCAATTCCTAGCACACCAAGGGCGGCTAGTGCTTGAAAATGCACCCTGCTTACGTCGTCTCTCCCAAATCCAAGCGTTGGCATCCCCGTCGATGGGATCTCCACGGCTGAGACATCTTCCCCCCCCTGGCCCCCCATCGCGCCCTCCGATCCATCACCGCACGGCCTTTTCGACTTCAGGACGTGCCCCCTTCCGCTTTGCCCGCCCCCGCCTTCGTCGGATCCGCCGTTTAGCCTTTTCAACTGGGACTGTCCACGTGGCGCCATGCGCTAACGATCAATTTCACCTGTCCCACAACCGAAGGCGAAGTGAGTCTGCCACGTGTAGTGGACAATGGCGGACGAACAGATCGTGAAGCGTCCGCATACCATGTCACCGACAGACACGCCCGTGAGGATAGCGCAACTGTATAGCGATAGCGCAGACGATGAACTCCTAGCGTCGTGGAATGAGAGTCACCTTCGGAACTTGGCCACGTGGTAGAGGCCCCGTAATCCTATGAGGCTCCCTCCCAACCTACCTCTTTCGTTTTTTTTGTTTTTTTGTTTGTTTTTTTTGGAAAAACTTACGAGTGGGAAAAACCTACTTACCGAGGTGATAAGAGCATCCCCGGTAAGTAGACCCCAACATTGAAGGCTCCATCTATTGGTGGGGAGTTGCACCTACTGGAAATCGGGTCCAGCGTCCCTGTACAATGATGTGATGTGTATAAGTTGGAAAACGGGCCCAATGTCCCTATACAGTGATGAATGCATATTCCTACTGCGCATCCTATATTTGTCTGTATATGTTTGTCAATCATTATTTATCGCACGAATGAACCTGCCACGAAACCCTAACAAAGATGTGATGTATGTGTTTTGTATCAATCAAAATCTAAACACGAAACCCTAACAATGATGTGATGTGTGTGATATGTATTAATCAAGCCTAAACTCGAAACCCTATCATTAATCTGATATGTGTGATCTGGACGTCGAGTCCAGCCTCCCTTATGCACTAACGAGTGAAAATGTCATAATACACGTTGTCCGAAAAGAGCAGGGGCATTGATTACTTCCCTATGCAAGGGAAGGATTGACCTCCTGCGAATGAGGTATTATCCCAGTGAAAGGCATCTTCCTCAAACTAATCCCTAAACAGCCCACCTTCCACCCGCGGGGCGATCGACACCCCATTGTTGATTGATATTGCGAGTGGGCTACTCCTATCCTCTGCCAGACAGTGAGGAGCAATTTCATATCGAGGTTGAAAGGGGGGAAGATAGGAGAGAAGGTTAACCGACCCCCCAATTTTCACCCTCATTGTGAGGATACTTGTTAACCATTTGTGGAAGATAGTAAACCACTTTTCCGTGTCAACCCCAATCCCCACCACGTCTGCTTGCGGCATCTCTCCCATCATGCTGATGATGATCTCAGATGCACGGACACCACTCTCTGCCCAGCTGCTGCCGCGGTCGTCGTCGCCGCCGTTGTTGTTGTTGTTGTTGGTGGTGGTGGTGGTGGTGTTGCCGTTGTTGATTTGTTGTTATTGTTGTTGTTATTGTTGTTGTTATTGTTGTTGTTATTGTTGTCGCAATCGTTTTTGTCAATATCCTTAATGCCAATGTTGCTGTAAGGCGCACTCCTACTCCCACTATCCTACCTCAGTGACTACCACTCAGGATCATCACCCTCCAGCCTGGGGGTGACCTGACCGAACCGTGGTTGTAGGTATTAGGGCTAAGCAGAGTCCCACACACCCCACTCAACCCTGATCGAAGCATATTTGAGTGAGCCTTGTCGCTCAGGTACAACAGGTGCTAGGTACAGACGTTTCACTACAAGTCCCATAGGTGGACCTATTTTGCGTTCCTATCGTTGTGTACACAATTGCTTTTACTGTTGTTTGTCGTTAGGTTGTTCACTGTGCACATTGTTGTCATTACTACGTGTTTTTTGTACACTTTTTTTTTGTTTTTTCAAACAAAACACCCCCCTGCAATGCTAGAGGTGCTGATAAGAGCAGACACCACTAGCACCCGGGGAGAGGCTCCATCAATTGGTGGGGAGCATCACCTGCTGGAAAACGGGTCCAGCGTCCCATTGCAGATTGAAAATAAGATGAGAACAGGCTGAATCAAGAGGAGATAGTTGTAAACCTTGCCAGCATTGATTAGTCTGGCAACCAGAGGATTGACTGTGCAGGTTGCTAAGGGAGGGGAGAGAACCTCTTCGGAGTCTTCGCCCCAGTACCAGGCGCCGGATGTCCATTGCTAAAGAATCTTTTTTTTTTTTTTTTTTTTTTTTTTTTTTTTTTTTTAAACTTCAGTGTTAGTGATGCTGATAAGAGCAGACACCACTAACAAGAACTAGTTCCTCTCACCGTCCTTGAAAAAACTGAGTACAAAAATTGAGTAAAACCCAGTGCCAGATGCCTGCTACTATATACGAATTCCTTGCTACGCCGAGCAGACCCGTACCACTTTCTGATTTTCTCTTGTAAAGTATCGCCTGTTGGAGATCGGGTCCAACATCCAGTTCCACCACTGCCATCCATGTCTCTTCGTGTCTCTTCCGTATATCTTCACTCAAGGGCTGATATTGTTCCAAGGCCGCTGAGCAGGGGAACATAGAATGAGCGGGGTCCTCCCCGGGGGACTCCAGGGAGGGATGTGAGGGTCATGGGGCACATTTATAGCAACACTTCCGCCAGGGACAGACCGTGGGGTGCGAAGGGATCTGGGAAGTCGGAGGGAGCGTGTAATGGGAACGAGGGTTCTATATTAGTCCAATCTTTGAAAACTAAATTGTAATCTGTCATTCCGTATAATTCTCTTAGCCCTTCTCCCTGATCCCCGCTCCATTCTACCTTTGCAACCCATCCCTCCCTTTCCCCTCCTAACCAGTCAGAGCAAAAAGTCGTGATTTGTCTTCTGGCATCTCCCATTTGCCTGAACTGGTCCAAATGCGTTTTTGTGTCAAACCATCTACGCATGAGCTCAATGTGAATTTGTTGTTGAATCTGTTCAGTAATTTTTGCGCCTTCCACGCATACCTTTTCCATCGCCAGAGTGCATCTTTGCCACCATAGTGCCCATATCACTGCCCTCCTTCTTAGTTTGTACATATTCTCAACAAAGGTCGAAGTTGTTCTTGCCAGCGGCCTCCTGCCAATATGGCTTACCATGACCAGGGCCAAAAGATGTCTGGTTCCATTTTCCTTCATATGCGGTCCCACCATCTCCATATGTATTGTGCAATTGGATACTGCATGAAAATGTGTTCAATGGTTTCTGCCTTCTTGTGGAAGGGAAAGAGGCTCTGACATCGCTGGCACCATGGAAGCAACAAGCCTTTTTGTTCAAGGTTTGTACAGCCAGTCAACCAATCTTTGGTTGGAAGGCAGCGGTGGGCTATCTGCCGCTGCAGGGAGGTAATCTTCATGGGTTTGTGCTTTTGTTTTTTAAACCATTTAATTGGAGATGCACATTTAATTGTTTGGTCCATCGATCATTAATTGTGTCCGTTAGACGTCGTTTGGGTTTAACCATTTTATAGACTGTCTTGTCCGAAAGCTGGTGCAGACTAATGTGACTTGTCCCGAGGGGACTCCTCTTTTGGGGGGATTGTCAGACCCATTCCACTGGGTCCAGGGCCAGATCTTGGATTGACTTGTCTGGCTGGAACACCACTTTCCATCCCTTTTCTTCGATTATCCTCACTCGGTATGTTGACGCTCTATCCTTCCATTCGAAGGGAGCTCTACTCCCTTGGAGGGTGTCTGTATTAGAAATGTCGTAGGACTCAACTAAGACAATTTGGGGTGACACCATATGTATCGATCCTACTCTTTGCAGGGTCTCTGAGTTTGCTACCCAATCGCCTTCTCTCAAGGAGGGGCCACGTTTAAGGATTCGTTACCATTCCAGAGGGATGGTCTCAATAAGATTTTCCAGTGTTTCCTCAATGTGGTGGTCATATCTTAAGGTTGCCCGCAATTGTTCCCTTGTTTTCCAGTCCTGCCTCTCATTGTCCCATAAATCTCCTACCCTAAGTATGTCGTGCTTAACCCAATTCTTCCAGGGTGGAGTTGATCTCGTCATAACGCAGCCCCTTGTGTCGGTCACCCATCTATTCCCAAAGAGGGGTTGGCGATGAACATCCTCCCAAGCCAGTGCAGGTTTGAGTGAGAGTTTTCGCCATATTTGCAACAGGGATGGCCAGAATTTGTCCAGCCTTTGGCCGCCACCCTCCTCCTCCTCCCTTCTACGTGGAAGTTTACGTGGGATTAGCCAGAATTGGTCTTCTAGCCAAGTCAGTGGGTGAATCGTATGGGGGGCAGCCGGGCCCAAACGGGCGAAGTGTTCCAGGGCTATAACACACCACGGGCTTTGAAGGGCCAATATTAGTTTTTTAATCCATTTTATTTGCAATACATGTGCCTGCGTTGCTGGGTCGAGAATTCTCAAGCCTCCTCCTACTTTTGGTTGAATAATCGAGTCCCAGGCCACTCGGCTTATCACATTCTTCAATTCTCTATCCCCTTTCCACAAGAAGGCGGCTGCCTTTTTCCTTAAACTCCTCAAGGTCGTTTTGCTCAATGACCACAGCAAAGACTTGTACCAAAGGGATGCAAACACCACATTATTGAGCGTCAGGGCCCGCCCGAAAAGGGATGTGGGTTATTTTTCCAACAGCTTAGTTTGTGCAGGGCTGGGGTGCAGATCCATTCGTCGTTGGCTGGTGGTTGTCCTCCTGCCATCATGGATACCACTAGAATTCTTATTGGGTTCTCTAATGGCATCCATGCAATGCGTGGTGTTTCAGGGGGGCCCCCACCTTGGTGGTGAATCCACCATCCTTGTGTCTTGGACCCCCAGTTGACTGTCATGTCCGAAACCTCGGCAAACCTTTCCATCAATCGTTGGATTTCCTCCATGTTACGGTGCTTGGCCTCGCTATTATCGTAAGATCGTCTGCAAACAAGGAACATACCGGGATTGCTTTCTCCGGGATGGATGTAATCCGTATTTTGGTGATGTTCTTGTTTGTTCAAAGGTTGGCAATGCCTCCATGATGATTATGAAAAGGAAGGGGGCAATAGGGTCTTCTTGGTGGACCAAACATTCCAAATGCAGAGGTCGCACGAGGTTTCCATTGACTTGTACACATGTGGTGACGTTTTGGTGCAGGATTTGTATCCAACGTCTAATGTCCGGACCAAAATTCATTTTTTCGAGACACTTATCCAAAAACAGCCAGTGCACATGGTCATAGGCTTTTTCAAAGTTAATGAAGATCACGGCTGCATTTTGGCACGAGTGTTTTGTGAGCTGGAGGATCTCGTTAATCAACAGGATGTTTTCTTATATA